TTGTATTAAAATTTATTAAACGGACATGCAATTTGCTGTACAAACCTTCACCTAAAGCAGAATAAAATAAAAAAAAGAATAAAGGAAACAAGAGGATTACCACGAGAAAAATGGATATGAGAACGGATTGTTTAGAAATAAAAAAGAGTAGTGGATATGGGTATAACATGTTGACACCTTTTCTTTGTCTACATGTGACACAGACACAGTTCTTCAAATATACTCACATTTGCATTTTGATTGATCTCTTTACTAAGACTGTGAATATTTATTTCCCCTTGAGAGATGGAGAACTTCTGGATCTAGATGTTTAGAATAAAACACAAATGAGGGTCTATGTAGACTTTAAAATATGCAGACACAAGACAGAGGGCAAGAAGAAGTAATTGAGGCAATAACATAAAAAATAATCACAGGAAAAGAATTTTTTTTATATTTTATTATTTTTGTGTGTGTGTACCATCAAATCAGATCTGACTGGTACAGGAGGAGATTGTCCCTCCTTCCCCGGCAGAGCAACTGATGGATTCGAACCGTGCGCCTCTGGTATTGTAGTTGCAGCTCCTTATCACTAGGCCACCAGAGCTCCCTTTGGAAAAGAATTTTAAGGACATTGGAGAGGTTTTCCCAAGTTCCAGTCAGAAGAGATATTTTTCTTTTAAAATGAAAGTAAAGATCAGGGGACAAAGTTATAAAAATTTATGCAAAAATCTAACACGCTGAAGTAATGAGTAATGGCTTTATAGTTTAGGATTACAGTCTCAGGATGGAGCTAAAGCAATCAGAAATCATAGTTAACAATGACAATGATGGACATCTTTCTATTAGGGATAGTGATTGGGGCCTTAAAATACAGCGAGAGGATATCTCAGTGGGCTCTACCCAAATGGAGCAAAGAAGAGCAAAAGCAGATCAAAGACATGGAAACAAATAGTCTAAAGGACTAATGGCCCATATGATCCTTAATTTCCTTGACCATGAGACCAGAAGAGCGGGACAAAACTGTGGGATGAAACTCAAAATTAAAAATTGACCAACCTTCAGGTTCCACTTGCCTGGCTTGGCCAGCACTGGTCCCATTTGATGGTTCCACCCTTTGTGAACCATTTCCCATGTTGTTTGGTCCTGGTTACTGTTGCCATTGCCCTCTGTGTTTCTCCCAAAGTCTTGGGCTCATCCCTTCTGTCATGAATGAACAGAGAATGGACAGGTGAGATCCAAGGATTCAGGGGTTAATAGATCAGAGTGTGGGGAGCTAGGATGAAGAATAATGAGCTTGTGGAGGTTGGGTACCTGTAGGGGGCTGTCCTTGGGTGCTCTTCAGTTGACGTGGTTCTCATTCATTGTGATGACCCCAAGAACCACTTGGAACCACATCCAAATATACCAGCATTGCCAATGAAAACATAAAAAATTGACCATCCTTACTGGTCAGAAAAAGGCTGAAGGAACCATGGGTATATGACCTTCAGCCAACCTTCAAGTGTAGAACTGAGCTCACCTCATATGGTTCAACTGTTAGCTTAACAATAGACAGGTTTAGAAGGTGAACAGTAATACCAGAGAGGTGCACACCTCTTAACCGCAGTCAACCAAACGAGATCAGAAGGGCAGTGTGTGCTTAGGGACAAAGCTCAGAAGGCAGAAAGCACAGGAAGGAATGGCTGGAAATGGGAGTCACAGGCAGGAAGTAGGAAGAGGACCGTGACTTTGTTGGAACTGCAGTCAATGTCATAGAACAAAATGTATATGAAAACCTAATTTGTAAAAAAGAAACAACAAACCTAATTTGTTCTCAAACTTTCACTCATCACAGTAAAAAGTGGCCAAGACAGTGTGGTACTGGTACAATGACAGACACATAGATCAATGGAATAGTATTGAGAACCTGGAAATCAGCCCATCTACCTATAACCAACAGATTTTGACAAGGAGATGAAATCAACGAAGTGGGGAAATGACAGCCTTTTAAACAAATGATGTTGGCAAAATTTTGCAGAAAACTCAACAAGATCCACACCTCACTCCATACACAAAACCCAATTCAAAGTGGATCACGGACCTAGGACTAAAAGAAAAGCTTAGAAGAACTCTAGAAGTCCTAATCCACAATATAAACAGTCTTCCAAACATCCTGAAAAATCCACAACCAGGAGAGGATGAAATAGATGAATGGGACATGTTAAGAATCAAATCTCTATGTACATCCAAAAACTTCTCCAACAGGGTAAAATGGGAAGCCACAGACTGGGAAAAAATATTTGGTAGTGACATATCAGATAAGGGACTTATATTCAGAATTATAAAACACTCAGGCATCACAACAAGATAAAGGTAAACAACCCAATTGAAAAAATGGGCACAGGATATGAACAGACACTTCACCAAAGATGACATTCAAATGGCAAACAAACACATGAAGAAATGTTCAAAATCCCTAGCTCTAAGAGAGATGCAAATCAAGAGAACTATGAGGTATCATCTCATTCCAGTAAGACTAGCAAAATTTAACAGAACAGCAAGCAACGAATGCTGGTGAGGTTGTGGAGAAACTGGAACTCTTATTCACTGTTGGTGGTAGTGTAAAATGGTGCAAGCACTATGGAAGGCTGTATAGCGCGTTCTCAAAAAGTTGCAGTGGCGAGCTCTAGTGGCTTAGTGGCAAGAAGGTGTACTTCAATCCCAGAGGTGCACGGTTCAAATCCACCAGATGCTCTGCTGGAGAAGAAGGAACAATCTCCTCCTATACCAGTCAGGTCTGATTTGACGGTACACACACATACAATAATAAAATAAAATAAAATAAAAGGTTGAAAATAGAAATACCATTTGACCCAGCTATTCCACTACTGGGGATATACCCCAAAGAAACCACAACTTCCACCCAAGCAGATATATGCACACCCATGTTTATCGCAGCTTTGTTCACAATTGCAAGGAGTTGGAAACAACCTAAGTGCCCACCAACAAACGAACGGATAGAGAAGCTGTGGTATATTCACACAATGGAATACTATGCTGCCTTGAAAAACAAGGAACTCATGAAATAGTACACAAAATGGATGATCCTGGAGGACATTATACTAAGTGAAATATCTGTCACAAAAGGACAAATACTGCATAGTGCCACTGTTGTAAAATGGGACTGATGTCGGGTTTGGAGGGAGACTAAGAAAGATGTGGTAAATAATGTACACTGCATTGAAACAGATGAGAGAGAGAACTGTTTAAAAGGGATATATGATTAGGTATTATTGTCATGACAGGAGTCCCGAACGAAGGCTGCATAGTGAAGTGGACTTGGGGGAAGGATTGGATAACAATGAAAGAATTTTTCTTTTGCTTTTGAAAGAGAAGAGTGAACTGGGGTGGGGTAGGTTGGGCAGGGAGAAAAGTACAACAGTGAGTGAATGGAAATCCAAAGTCTCTGTAAACTTTCATTAAAATGAATTTAAAAAGAGAAATAAAAAAAAGTTAAAAATAAGATAAAGATGCAGAAGGAAGATGTTAAGAAGAAAGCACTTTGCAGGTGTTATTTTGCAAGGTATCCTTTAAAATTTTTACCATTTTCAGGAATTTGTGAGACACTTAGAAGAACAAAAAATCAACTGAGCAGTAGTAATACAGCTGTGAAATCTTGATACTTGGAAGACTTTTGAAATTGGCTAAAATGCCCAAATGAATGAAATTAGCAGTTAGGCCAGAAATCAAGTGCAGCCCTAACTGACTCACAAACCCGTAGAGTTTCTGCTCTCTCATGGATGGACCTACAGCATGGTCAAGGTCATCACATGAACTGATGTGTGATGCTGAAGTTGTACTTCTGTACAGGAGGAGATAAACTATTTTTCTGCTGGAAAAACCATTTTTACCTGCTGGATTCAAACCATTGAACTCTCATTTAACAGCCTAACACTTAACAATACACTATACCACTGTGGACACCATAGAATGAGTTTGATCCTTCTTGGTGCAGTAGCCTGCAGTTTTTAAAATTCTACATGTAAAAGGTTATCTTTTGATGTATTGTGAATAAGAGGTCAGTACTTAGCGCAATTCGATGCAGCTGATAGTTACAGTCGCCAGGGTGGCAGATGACCCCAGTGTGACGCCTGGCAGCCTGACCGTGAGACAGTGTGCTGTTGAACAATCACTGGGCTTCAATCACAGTAATAGAAACACCCCTGCCAAAGTCAAGGGACCTCGAAGGAGATAAAATCAGAGCTTTGGGGATCAGACAGTTTCAGATTTTAATTTCGTTTCTCTATCACAATGGATCTAGTTTTGGAGATTGATATGAAGTCTCTGAGTTATTTTTTCTACTTCTAACATAGTGGTGACCACTATTCTAACTACCTTGCTTGGAGGAGTCAATGACAAGTTTAATCAGGGTCTTGCTACATAAATGGAAGCCATTATTATTGTTGTTATTAGTAGTGACATTTCAGGAAAGCCAAACAGGAAGTTTCTAGAAAGACGTGGAGACATTCAAGTACCCTTAGGATCACTGTCTAATCTTCCATGTCTCTTCTCTGATACCCATCTTTCCCATCTGGGTCATAGCTTCATTTCCTGATTGTCTGAATGGTGCTGGACGACATTCCTGGAGGCAGAGCCGAGCAGCATTGGCTTGGCTGAGGCCTCCTGATGAGGGGTTAGTGCAGAGAAAGGCTTGCTTCAGCGAGGCTGGGAGCAACCTGTAAAAAGGGGCCAGCTCATTCCAGAGCAGGAACAGTATCAACAGATCCAAATTTGGCAAAGAAAACTCCCAACTCAACAGACAAGTTTTTTAAGTGGGGACAGCATCTCCTAGGCTCCTCAAGCTCGCTAATCAGATGTTTATACGTAAACGAGTATAAACAATAACAAGGAAAGATGCTATATGTGTGCTGACACCCATGGGGAAGGAGTATAAAACCCCTCAAGTCTTAGATGACTTTCAAACTCAAGTACACCAAATTTGCAACACCCCAGCCAGGTGAGCACAGACAGCAAGCACCATGGTGGACAACTGTTGTCCTGGGAACACCTTGGCAGTTCCAGCTGTGCCCACCACCTCCATATGCCCCAATGGTGGCAGATTCCGGAATGCAATCTGTTTGCCCAGTTCTTGCCAAAACAGAACGTGGCAACTAGTTACCTGCCGAGAAAACTGTCAGCCGTCCAGCAATGCTTCAAGTGGGTGTGCATCTGCTTCCTGCCAAGCTACTACCTGCCTTCCATCAGCTTCTTGTGTGGGTTTTGCCTGCCAACCCATTTATTCTCGAACAGCCTGCTGTGAATCCAGCACCAGTCAGCCTACTTGTCTGGATAACTCATGCCAGCCAGCCTGCTCCGAAATCACTGGTTGTCAAGCAAAGTGCCTTGATGCTAGCCCCTGCCAACAAGGCTCCTTCCAGAAATCTGTCTGTGTGTCCAGATCATGCCAAGAAGCTTGCGGCCAATCAGCCTGCTGTGATGCCAGATCCTGCCAGCCATCGTGCTCTGAGGTAACTTCCTGTGCTGAAATATCGTGCCCACCAGCCATCTGTGTGTCTAGTCCATGCCAACCATCTTGTTGTCAAGCAGGGTCACATCAAGTCACTTGTTGTGAAGACCAGCTGTGCAATTCAACTTATTACCAGCCTATCTACTATCTTATTAACCCTTGCTACTCGGTTCCCTGCATGCCTGTTCCCTGCCAGCCATCAGCACCTATGTATGCATTCAGTTGCAATCCTTCTTGCTGTGAGCCCTCCTGCTGTCAGCCACGCCACTGCCAGCCAGCTTCTTCCATACCCTTCATCTGTCAGCCAGTGGCTAACTGTCAGGCCCCTTGTTCTGTAAAGTACTCTTGTAAATCAGTTCCTTGTGGCACCACGTTTTCTTGCCAACCACCTTGTGGTGGATCCACTTCCTGCAACCAAAGTGGCTGCAAATCCCCCTCCTGCCAGCCAGCCTGCTGTGTGACGGGCGTAGGTAAATCGTCTGGTGGTGGTTCCAAGTGCTTCCAACCAACTTCTTCAAGTTTCTGCAAAGCAAGCAACTGCTTGTCGACTCCTTGCCAACCCCGTCATGCATCCAACTTCCGGAAGGCAACCCTTTGTTGATGGCGTTCAAGTCCCACCTCCTCTGAACATGTCCCATCGTCTACGAGTACAGAGCCACAGGCAGTGCCTGTCTCTGGCCAAGAACAGACGTGGCCTGTTTTCTAGCTTTACCTGCAGTCCAACCCCAAGTTCTTTCCAGGTGCTGATGAAGAAGCTTGTCCAGCAACACAGAGATCATTTTTTTCCTTAACCAAAATGATCTTTCAGCAATAACGGCCCACATGATAGCTTGGGTTTTGGTGTTGTCAATTTGTTTCACTTCAGCAAAACCTTCTTTCATTTTTCTTTCTTTTGATGCTGCCCAGCTTTAAGAAAACTCTTTTGTTGTTAACTGCTAATAAAAGTGAGACTGGCTAAGCATAATAACTGTGACTATTGACTTGTGAGTTCTTATTTTATTTCAAGATATCTATACACACAGGACTCCGTTCAGGTTAAATTTGAGCCCGGATACTTTGGACTCACTTAAATCAGTAGGCATCTCCATCCTCATCCTCAATGTTGCCTTGAGAGATAAGATTTCGTTCTCTTGGACGCTCACTAATGTGCACAAGAGGTCATCAGATTGTTCAGCTTTGGATGCATAAGGCTAGAGTTCTAGATGCTCAGCCTCAAAGTGTCTGAGAACCAGCAGTGCACAGTTTCCAACCTTTTCACCACCAAGACCTCTTCTGAGGTGAATGACGTCAATTTTCTAATAGTAAATAAACTTAGAGAAGCCAAACAAAGATAAAAAATGACTCAGTCGTAGATGGAAATAAGGAAGCAACCTGGGGGTGGTGGTACAGTGGTTAAGCACTCAGTTGCTCACCAAAAACTCCGCAGCTCAACCCCCTAACCCCATCCCAGGCCGCCTTTGGGATAAAAATGTGTCAATCAGCGTCTGTAAAGATTTACAGCTTTAGGAACAACACTAGAAGTCCTAATCCACAACATAAACAGTCTTCCCAGTATCCTGGAAAACCTACAACCAGGAGAAGA